AAGGCCTCCCTGGGAGTGAGTACCCAGCAGCATCACAGGGAGTAAAACCCCAGACAGGGGTGAAAGCTGAGCGACCCGTGTCTGTGTTCTCCAGCACGTATGTAGTTCAATGGCCAAGGGCAGCGCTTTACCAGCTCGGGGAGTCTGAACAAAACCTCTGCTCCAGTCACCGGCCACTGAGCCATGCAGGTCCAGGGCAACCCATAGGAAAACAGTACGAAATATAAAAATATGAATTAAAACCCGAGCAGAGACATCAGCTATATAGTTCAGGGGGCAGAGGGTGGACGAGGTTTTGCAGTTGAAGTTCAGGCAAATCATTTTAGAAAAGCACCCAGAAGAAAGGGAACAAAAGTCTCTCCCTGTGCTCCTGACCAATTCCTGTTTGGCACTGCCTGATTCGAATAGATTTTTGCTCAAATAAACTCTAAACAATTAAAAAATAAACACTTGGAAAAATAAATCAGAATCCATATTTATTACTATATATTATCTAAATGCTACTGTGCCAAGGAATACCAAGTGTCCTTACATCGGTCCTTTCAGGAGTTCAGTGATGGCGATCTGCAACGAAGCATAAAACAAAATGAACATTCCCAATAGAGCACCGATTATTCTCAAATATCAACCAGCTCCACAGGGCCACTTTGCCTTTTTCTCAAGGCCTCTGTCCTGATAGATGGTTGTGGAGTTTTAAAAATTGCATTGGATGCACTGAAATTGGGTAGGCATGTTCTAAAGAAAGGTATCCCCTTATTAGCATGCAAATGCCTGGCAGGACTGTCCGTGCCCAATCTATCGATGCAGTTCCTCCACTGTCCACCAGATGGCGACCTAGCAAACCAAATCTGTGCGCGAGAAAATCCCATTATTTCATCCCTTTGTCAGACAACCAGCGTCCGCCTTCAGAATCGTGACTTTAAATAAACTTACTAAGAAATTTGTTAAACTCCTGTCCCTTGTCATTAAAGATGTAACTTTGGGGGAATTTTGCCACACACCACCTCCTTCTCTGCCAGGGTTGTGACTTGAAGTAGGTAAGCAGGGACCACGCTCCCTCCTAAACAGAAGGGGAGCTGGGCTGCAGCCTGAAAGCTCTGAATAGAGATTTTAACTTGGAAAGAGAAATGCTATTTACTCTCATTTCTGAAGTCCAGTCTCCTTAAAATTGATTTGTCAATAGCCCCAAAATGATCCAGTCTCCTGAAAACTACAACGGGTGTCTAGTTTTTGGTGGTTTTTAAAAATTTTCTATTGTTTATGTACTTTTTTTTTTTTTTTTTAACTAGAAAATTAGCCCCTGCTGCCACTGAAACCCAAAGAGCTCCTCCTTTCCCCAGGGACACATAATGGATAGTCAGTGCCAGGAAAAGCCACAGCCTATGTGACTTATAATGACTTTGGGGTGGACCGATGATGTCTCCCTACTAATCAGCATCGAGGAGTGAGAAATATTGATTAGACTCCTGAGCTTATTGGAAGCTTCCTGATCACTTTCTAACTGAAGGACAGGCTTTTAGGAAACTCTAGAGCGGTGAGATTGGGAGGGAAGTGGCTGTCTTGTGGCCTCCACTGAATCCATTAACATCTTTCTCCAGGAAAACTGCAATCGTGAGCTATTTGTAATGGATATTGATTGCTAAGAAAAGATACAGATAACTTTAAACCTCGGGAGTCTCTAGGGATAAAAGACATAGAAGGGGGGCCTTTGGGATCACAGGCATGCTAGTTGGGAAGCAATTGTATTGGATGTAACTTACAGAATCAGATAAGTGAATTTGAAAGTCAGGGCTTCTTGCTCAAGGATACCAGTGATCTGCTGCAAGGAGAGCAAATATACCATTTACCAAGTACACACTACCTGTCAGGCACTATTCTAAACACTTCACATGTATTATTTTATTTAGCTTAAAACAACTCTACGAATTAACCACTATTATTATCCTCATTTTATAGTGTGAGAAAATCAAAGTCAAAATAAAAATTTGCCAAAAGAGATAGCCAATTAAGTTGTATAGTCAGACTATCAGCCCGGGAAGTCTAACTCCAAAGACTATACTTTCAATCCCTACCATGCGCCTGGTGTAAATATAATTTTGTTCGGGAAAAGGCACAGATCTTCGGACCTGTGTAAGAGAAATTAATATGTCTCACTCCCACTATCACTGTCACTCACCAAACGGCCCAAACTTCTTAGTCACAGTAACAAGATTCGAGGTTTACACAGCAAGGAAGGGAAAGGGAAGCCAGGCAGCAGCCACCTCCCGATCTAGCCAGACCTGTTTGAGATGCTACTGGCCACATGGAGCTGTATTGGAGATGCACCTGAGACTTTCAACTCTTTACTGTTCTCCCGACCAGTCCCTAGGGGGTGCTAGTGACCCTGAAATCTTTTCTGGGTTTTACAGTTAACTTCAGGTTCTGGAAAACGCTTTCTCAACAGAACAGGGCTCTGCCTGGGTGATGCTTGAGCTCAGGGTGGCATGCCTGGGAAAGCTCTCTGTTGCCGCCTCCACCATCTGTGTGCAGAGAAGGAAAACCAACAGAATTATTGACACTTGACAGCAGCCAGCGGGCGAGGGGATAGCAGGGGGTCCATAGAGGGGCAGAGCCTTAGCTCAAACCTGCTTCCTTGCTTTAATAAAATAAAGAA